ATACTTTGAATATTTTTGGGCACGGTTCAGTTTCATTTAATTGTATATTTTCTTTCTGAAGATGTCAATCCCCATTTGCTCTGATTCACTTTCCTGTCTGGGGTTAGATTCATTCTCATGAACACGACATGTTCTTTAAAGCACTGACCACAGTTACGCAAGATCTATAAGTACGGTCACGCTATTTACTGTCGATCTCCACCACATCATGCAGACTGAATGTAGAACACGGTGTTAGGTAGGTCGCCTCCATAGGAGAACTGGGGCGTGTAAGAGATGTTTATGACTCACATCTGAACATACTCTAAAGTGAGCTCACCCGATGAGTAGATGAGTTTCTCTGCTTTTTAAATGTGCTTGAAACCTGCCACTTTTGGGTAGAAGAGCCACCTCTGGGTGTGCTAGTTTGGACGATCTCCACTCCAGAGCCGCTTGAAAGCAAAGGTGCTTAAGATAACATTTCACAGTTTGTTGAAGAACCAGTTGTAAAGGTCTCTGCCGGTTAGCACTTTTGCAGATGGATAGCATGCGCTGTATTTAGCCGGCTTTAACTGTTGAACCCTTTTTGGTTCAGCTACTAGCAGCATCTTGCATTCACACTTTCGGCGTCCTCCGTGGTGTTTCTATTTACATAAGGCTTTAGAAAGCTCTTCCAGACTGTTTTCGGCACATTTATATGTGCATATGCTAATACATGTAGCCTCACCCGCTGATAGCTGCAATCAATATTTAAAGATTCTCTTCATTTACTCCAATCACTCAGCATCCGGGGCCATTTAAAGAGAAAACGTTTATTGCTTCGATGCTCATTAAGACGATGAGTTGGTTGATTTTTTTTTTTTTTTCCCCCCTCAGAGAGTAGCCCCCTGGTGACATATTGAATGTAAGGAAATAGCAAGAGCAGCATCTCAAAGATCCGGTTGGCACTGCAGAAGAGTGAAATATGTTTGCTATTACTTTTTCAGGTCAGAGATGTTATCAGCAGCATAAAGCTGGTGGATTTACAATTGTTGGTAGACATAAGATAACAGCCTCAGAAGAGGAGGGGAAATATTTTTAATGCCAGAGGTGCAGCTTAATAGAATGACACCGTGCCAATTTTTTTTTATTATTATTATTTATGTGTAATATCCCACTGTTTATCCAGGGTTGTGTTAAGAATATGACAGCCTTGTTTCTGTTTAATACGAATCGATAAACGTGTGCGGAGGAACATCAGTGAGGAGGAAGCAATTGACCTGTTCATAAAACGAGAGACACCAGAAAGTTTTCTGCCAAGATTATGTAAGGGTTCAATACTGTAATTTATCATGCTGACTGTATGAAAGCTGCAATTATCAGGGCAGCATTTGGTAGTCTGCTAAGGAGAGACGCGGCTCTCTGTAGACGAAATTGCTGCGTGAACTTGGCTCTAAAAGCCATTATCAGGGAGCAGAGTTTGTTGTTGCTACCGAAAAATTTGTAAGAGGTGGAGGGAGTTGATGTGGGAGACCAATCAGCGGTGTGCCACCAACTTTACATGCCCTTTGTTCATATCAGATAAACTTTTTTTTGTCTTGTTACAAGCACAAGTATTTTTCTTTTTTTTTACTTTTTTTTCTATTGCCTAATTATGAGGTGGAATGAAAACAGTTTTATGTCGTAGGAAAGCAAAAGCCAGAATTCAGTCCCCCTTTATTCTTTAAAATCAGAAAACCTTACATTGTTTTCTTTCAGTGCTACCATTATGATAAGCCGCCGCACTTGTCTGTCACACAATAAAATATATTAACAAAATATGTAAAGGTTAAACGAGTTTGAATACTTTTAGAAAACAAAGCAAGTGCAACACGTCTACGTTAAATTAGTTCCTCTACTTCAAACTAGCTGGCAGAAAACACAAGTAAAACATCTGATAAAAAATGTAGTCACTTTTTGTTTTTGGAGTTATATAATTGTTGCATTAAATATGAATGAATGTGGGTTTTTTTTTTTTTTTTTTTATATGAAACATACCAAAAAACAAAAGGGTTTTGGTCCTTTGATCTTCATACATTTCATCCGTTTGTGTGCTCGTTTCAGATCGTCTCTCAGAGGAAACTGACCAAAGCTCTGCTCAAACAGGGAAACACTGCTGGAAAGTCTTCAATAATGGTATGACGTCCCTTCCCGAAAACCGGCCCCACCTCAGTTCAACGCACCCAGAGCACGCGCTTGACGCCAAGCGCGCGCTCACAAGCTCTGGAGATAATTAATTTGATGATGTTTCCCTCTCGCTCTGCACCGTTCCTCATTTCCATCTCATTTCCTCTCACCTCCTTCTTACGCCTCTGTGTCCATCTCCCCCTCTGCTACCCTAATCCCACCCGTCCACCCCCTCACCCCCCAAATTTGTCTGTATAGGTGACAGCAGAGGAGTTGTCAGGAAACGACGATTACGTTGAACTCTCTTTCAGCGCTCGGAAGCTAGACGACAAGGTTTGTCCAGATGCTTGTTTTTGAAGTTTAGGAATGTGAGCTTTATATATATGTGTGTGTGTGCGTGTATGTGTGTGTGTGTGTGGGTGGGTGGGTGGAAGCCAGTGAGATTTGATGATGAAATAACTCATGCAAAACACAAGGGTACAATCTGGGCTCATGCAAGAAGACCTGCGGAGATAGGTGGGCACCTCCCTGGTACAATAACCCTCTTTTATCTAGACAACCCAATCAGAGACACACACACACAGAGTACTAGATTAATTTTTGGCTTCCCTTAACACACACGCGCCCTCACCCACAGCCACGGATGACTAATCCAAACGAGTTGTGCCCAAGAGGAATGATGGAGTATAAACGAGGGAGGGGCGCATAAATCGGAGAGGACAGAGGAGAGAGAGATGGCTGGTTGAAACAAAAAAAAAAAAAAAAAAAAAAAGCCAGAGACAGAAGGTGAAATGATGGCTCTGGTAGTTGCATGAATGATTTATGTTTATGATCAAAGTGTGTGTTTTCTTTCTTCTTTTTCTCTGTCAAGGATTTCTTCAGCAAGTCAGACCCTTTTCTGGAGATCTTTAGAGTAAACGACGATGGGACTGAGTCGCTCGTACACCGGACCGAGGTAACTCCAGTTTTTTTTTCCCGTCCTTTTTTTTTTTTTTTTTTTTTTTTACATTTTTTTACACTCCATCAGTTAAAAGAATAAACGCAGCCAAGAGCCTTTTTAGTAACTCTGTAGGACCCCCTGATATCCACGGCTTGGATGGGAGAAGCTGTTGCAATTTGGCCTTAATGGGACTGTAAGAAGAAAACCTTTGTTAAAAGAAAGCCACAAGAAGCCTCGTTTACTGTGAGCCATGCAGGGAACACAGCAAACCTGCGTCTCGTCTGTAACCGTCCCTGCAGCATACCTGCAAGGAAGTTGGTTGGAGTAATTATGCAGATGGATGAAGCTAAATACAGGACAGTCCATGAAGAAAAGCTGTTAGAACATGCAAACCAGATTCACCTTTCATCGGGACAACGGCTCTTTAGCCAGAGTTACAGTAGGCGATAGATCAAAGCATGACAATATATATATATATATATATAAAAAAAAAAAAAAAACGTCTAGTTTCTCACATTTTGTGGCCAACTGTTACAGAGCTCTTCTGACAGTTGTTTTGTTTTCCTCTACAGACAGTGATGAACAACCTGAGCCCAGTCTGGAAATCATTTAAAGTTTCATTGAACACTCTCTGCAGTGGAGACCATGACAGGGAGCTAAAGGTGAGTTTGAAAGTCCCACTGTGTGAGAAAAGAGAAAAGAATAGGAGCCAGTTAGCCTCAAATACAATCCACCGCTGAGCGGAAAAGCTTGGGCAGAGCTGGTTTCATAATGTAACTTGACACACAGCTTTCTTATAGGCCACATAAGCACATCGACGCCTGCTGAAGTTTCTTTTTAACCTGATTCTCTACATAAATGTTTTTTTCTTAGTTCTCGAGAGACCATCTACATTAAGTAACACGCACAAGTTTGCACTCCCTTGGAAAGGGTGAAGACCTTAATTAGATATTTTTGGCTATGGCTTGTTCAAGAAATATAAAAGTCAAAGCTAAATAAACACACTTGCTCCTAATAGCCTGTGCCGACAATCAGCAAGTTATTTATTCTCCCTGGAATCAGGAAACTATGCAAGTTGATTGCAGATAAATGTGACAAAGACTATTTAAGGCTGTTGTTTTCTGAGTATGTAACATAATCAACAAGTTCCAATCAACAGAAATGCAGGAGGTCAAAGGTTAAAACTGAATTAATTCATTGTCATTGTTGATTTTACATTTTCTTAACTAAATTCTCAACTAAATTCACTTGTCCCCTATATTTTTATTAAATAAAATCAGTAGCAGTCATGACGCTCTCCTTATTAAATTGATTATGTCAGCACAAAGTCTTTTGAAACTAGGCTTTGTCAGCTTATGTACATCTTCTATTAATTTCTGTCCTTCTGTCTTGCTTTACATGGGCTATATTTTGCCAAGGTGGAACTAAAAAATAAATCTGCGCTCATTCATTTATTTCCCCACTTTAATTATCAGAAAACAGAACGTCAATATTTTCACTTAAGTGAAAATTGACATTTTGCTGGAAACATCAATGCACTACGATTTCAGCTCCAGTTTAAAAGACAAAAGACAAAAAATCTTTGGCAATAATCTTTGCCTGTGTTAGTTGCATCTATATTCGCCAGTGCAATGATCCAATAAAGTAAGAAGTGTCCTCTTGCTCATATCAAACCTGTAGCTGGTCTCACTCCATGCTCATAGCAGGGTCTGCAGAGTAAAAAAAAAAAACAGAATTGCAGTGCAAAACCCACAATCTTTTTCTTTTTCTTTTTTTTTTGGTCCCTTTCTATTTGAGAAATGCTGACAAAGGCCTCGGAACGTTTTTGAATTTAAGAATCGCTAAAAAGTTTTATGACACTAATAATACATCCACCCATTAGAAATCATTCTAATGGTTGAAAACTGGCCATAAGTTTTCATTTTATCTTTCATACCAGATCTATTTTCTCTGTGTAACAACGCCAAAACAACAAACCCTGGACTGCCTTAGATCTGCTTTTTGCTGTGTGGTTATTCAAGGCTTTCTCAGCTCCAGTCCATCTTTCTTCTTATCTACTGAGACTTTTTCAAAGTAGAATCAGATTGAACCACACAATGACTCGTGCTTGAAGGAAACTAATGCACAAAGCGATTTTTAGATTCAGGCCCTTTTCACAGCTCAGTTGTACCATGTGGGAGGGACACATGCTACAAAGAAACTATGATGCTACCAGTGCCGTAGGCGCGCACACACAACTATTTAAACACCTTTAATCCACAGATAAATATATATGTATATATTTAAAAGTACCATCGCAAAAATGCTCAAGTAGGTCTGTCAGTTTGGCACTCGGCTCGGTTTCGGTGCAGCTGTCCGTTTTGTTTAATGGGCTCAGTGGTCATCTTAAACTCTCACCTTCCCTCGCCTGCGCTCCTGTGTGCGCGCAACGCTGCAACATCAGCTGTGAACATTTATTCTCCTCATGAATAAACATGAACTTGCTCATTAATTATGCAAAGGCTTCTTAACTCTGCGTGGCTCCTGACAGCAGGAGAAAGGCCTGGCACACTCTGAAACGCGCGCATGGATGCCATCGACCACAGGCTTCCAGGGCTACCTGTTTGAAGCATCACAGCAATGGTTAGGAACGGGAGGGCAGAGATTTCTATTCAGTCCAGGATTTTACTTTCGCCAGGGTCTTTAAGTGACCAATGCATAAATGCATTACCCTCCTCTGTGGAGTCTGGCTCCCTCTTCCTTTGTACTTCTTCCTGCTCGTTTCTTCACCTCCCTACTCTTCCTTCTCTCCCCGCTCTCATTGGTCTCTTGCTCTCACCGCCAGTTAGTATTCAGTGAATGGAACAGAGCTTCTTCATTTTTTCATTAGTCCTTTGCACAGCCTCTCTGCCTCTTGAAGTGAAGCACGGCTGCAAAAGCAAGCACCCCCTTCCCTTCTACAAGGAAATTACTAACAAAAAAAAAAAAACACACACACACAGACACACACACAAAAAACACAAATTACAAAGACAAAAAAAGAAGGGCATGCGCACTTCAGGTGCAGGCTCTCAACAGCTTAAGTGGGAGACAGGAAATAAGAGGATTATTGCTGGTCCTTGTTTTTTAATCACCACAGTTGTACTGGTTCAGATTGCTGGTGGCTGGTTTGACCTAAAAGGCAAGAGGGTCACAGGATTTACAGTAAATTAGCCCACTACAGCAGAACAGACATAGGAATCATCTGGATATAAGTGCTAAATCAGAAATCTACTCTCTAGGATGTCATTGAACACCGTACCTCAGTGGAAAAGCCCATATGCACTTACAAATTATTATTATTTTCGTGGTACACCTTGCTGGTGTGCCACTTTGTGCCACATTTTGCCTTGCAGAAATATTTCACTGTGGGGTGACTGTAGTTCAGTGGTAGTCACTTTGCAATCACAAGGTCATGGGTTTGATTCCAGCTTCCTCCTGACAAGGCACTTAACCTGACGTCGCCCTTCCGATCTGTAAGCGTGAAAGGATGAATGTGTCTGCAGTATAAAGTGCTGCGGTCAGAATGACTGGAAAGGTGTTTTATAAACTCTGTCCATGTAATTCTTTGTGGCATAACAACCAAATGAGGCAAGTCTCAAAGGCGCTCCACTGGGATTGAGTTCTCTTGAGTTTGGAGACAACTGGTGTGCAATGAAATCATCGTCAGGAGAAGATTTGAGCTTCATAACATGACACATAAACTGGCCATAAAGGGATTGAGGTGGTCAGCAACAATAGGCTGCAGTGTTTAAGCAATGAAAAGTTGAGGAACTAAAGGCGTGCCAGTAAAATGTTCCTTACACCACAACTTCCATGATGGATCCATGCCATCATTAGGTTTGGAGCAACTTTTTGATCTTGTGATGTTAATGCTGTACCTTAAATTGAGGCTCTTTGGATGAAGCAGCATTTACACAAACTGTCCGAAATTCGGTGGAAACTGAGGTCTCAGTGTCTTGTTCGCCGACAGGAGTGAGACGACCTGATGTTATCTTCTGTTGCTGTGGCCCTTCTGCTTCCAGGTTGGGCATTTTCTGCTTAGAAAGATGATATTTCTAGATATTAATAGAGAGTCACCTTTCTATTATCTTAAACCTGCTTAATCTGACTGCTATCATCAATCAAGGTACTTTTCCCCATTTCTTTTTTCTTTTCTTTTCTTTTTTTTTTGACAGTCCCCTTTGTTTACCATTCTGGTGCTAAGTTAGAACTTTAAATAGTTATCTTCCTTTTATTTAGACAGCTAACTTCACTGAGTGTCTGATTCACTGTTTCTATTAACAAGCTATTCAACATGAAGATGCCAAATAAACCGATATTATATACAGCAGCAAATCCCTAATCATACAAACCACTCGAAGCGCTTCAAACTAGAGCCCCATTCACCCAGTCATGCTCACTAACACGCGCACATCAACACACCAATATGCGGATCAGTAGGGAGATTGGGGTTATGTGCCTGGTGGCAGCTGAAAGCTGTAATGGAAACCACGACTTTGGGTTTGCAAGACAACTGTTTTCCCACCGTGTCACTGTCACGTTTGATGCAACCGTAAGAAAAAAAAAAAAAAGGTACCTAATAAAGTGGCCTGTGCGTGCCTGTACATATAAAAGACTTTTGTCATGTTTTGAAATGATCAGTTTGCTTCTTCGTGAGGTGTTGAAGCTTTGTCCTCTGACCCCGTTTTGATTGTCGTCGTTTATATTGCCAAATGGCTCCTCCGAGAGAGAGAGGGGAAAAAAAACTATTACGTCTAAACCCTGACACTCATAAAGCCGTCTCTAAAGCCTCTCAGCATCGTCAGATTAATATTTCACTGCTCCACGGCCCCCCCACCAACTCCACCCCATCAATCATTCAGCATGGCATTTCTTTGCAGACGTGTGGTGTGCATGTGTGGATGCTCAGGTAGCAGTTCTTCTCACCACGTGTTCCTGTGTGTGTGTGTGTGTGTGTGTGTGTGTTTGTTTCTGCGCTAGTGCACGGTTTGGGACTGGGACTCCAACGGCAAACATGACTTTATTGGAGAGTTTCAGACCACGTATAAGGAGATGATGAGGGCAGAGCAGGAGGGCAAGCAGGTAAGAAAATGGACGCTCAAAATCAAAGCTTTGACTCGTATGTGCTCTGCATGTAATTGGGCGCGCGGCTGCCTCTGCGCTCCCTCCGCGCCGCATTTAAATAATTTCCCGTGCAACAATATCCAGAAAGTGCCTTAAAATTACCCTCGAGTGCAAAGCACCCACCGCCGCCGCTGCCACCTTCTTCTTGTCTTTTCTCAGATTCAGTGGGAATGCATCAATCCCAAATATCAGATGAAGAAGAAGAATTACAGAAACTCTGGAACCGTCATACTCAACCACTGCAAGGTAACTTACACAGCATAATCCTGATCGGCATCTTCTGACGTTTGTGCGCTTCTTTTGAAACAAACGACGAGGGCGACGACTGCTTTGGTGATTAGTTGTTGTATCTTTAAAATGTCCTGTAATTCAGAGCTTAACATAATGGCAAGATTGCAACCCTGTTTAACAAAAGTATACTTTTTTCACAATTTCTCACTTAAACTTAATATAATAAGATATTTTGCAGGGGGTTGGTGTAATGTGACAGACCTACACAAAGCAGCGTACAACTATGAAGTGAAAGCAAACTGATTTGTGGTTTTGATTTTCTTTTTTTATTAAAAAAAAAAAAATCTGGAAAGCATGGCCTTCCGTTTTGACTTTCCCTTTTTCTCTGGTACCCATAGTTAAAATCCACTGCCTTGTGTATAATTAGTAAGTTGGTTAATTTAATCTCAGTATGAAAACTGTCATTTGCGACGGCCTCCCGAGGTTTGCTTGAGAATAAACAGAATCACAAAGATCAGGAACACGGTGGACAAGTGAGGGAATTAATTTACGTAGAAGTTAAAAGCAGGGTTAAGTTATAAAATTATCTCATAGGAATTGAACATCTCACAGAGCTTTGTTTCTTCCCTCATGCACAAATAGAGAGTGTGGCACAGTTGGACATCTTCTGAACTCAGGCTGGGCAAGGAGAGCATCCATCAGAGAAGCAGCCAAGAGGCATGTGGCAGCTCTGGACAAGCTGTACAGATCGATGGCTCGCAGAGGAGAATCTCGGTTTAAACTACCCACAGTATCCACAAACTTGATGTTATGGATGCGTTGCTTTTTTTTTTTTTTTTTTTTGTGGTAGAAAAGTCACATTAAGCGACACCCTGAGCAAATCCACCCAACTGTGGAACATGGAGCGTCGTGCAATAGGGACACTTTCCCAGACAAGCTGTCCACTTAGCTGGAGCTAATTTGCGGAGAAGAACGGGCAAAAAAACTCTCTAGATGCTAAAACTGGTTGAGGCACACCAAAAGAGTTGAAATAAAAAGTGATTCAACAGAGCAGACTGAGGGAAGTTGAATACAAACACTACACTTTTTAAAGTTTTGGGTTTTTTTTTTTCTTTTATATAATTTTGAAAACCATGAATACTTTTCCTTCTACTTCACTGTTGGAAACTATTTTGTGTTGGTCTTACACACAAAATCCCGATAAAACACACCGAAACGCGTGTTTGTAACGTGACAAACTGTGGGAATGTTCAACAGGTGCTTTTATACACTTTTATACACACATTTACTTGAGGCGTCCCTGTTTTCTGGCACATTTTACTGGCTAATTGTATGCTGCTTTGAGAAGACCGTGTCCTTTCTGCAACACGTGCTAAAAAGAGCTTTAGATGCATATGAATGCATCAGTGTCAGTAGCGGGCTGCCCAGATTAGGCGAACAGGCAGATTTTCTTGCATTTTTGGCTCATATAGAGAGGATGACCAGAGCCAAGCACGCTCCGGGACGCTGAGATAATCTACATGACACTCAAAGGGACCCAAGTTGGATTTATCTTTTTCTCTCTTGTTTATTCTTTTCTTCCAACCATTAATCCAACCATTTTCTAAAACTGTGTGTAAAACCTTATTTGTCATTATGTAGTTTGAACAAAATATTTTTCAATATTATTTTCAGTGTTATAGAATATACTGTCAAGTGGCTAGATGGAAAAAAAAAAAGGAGTGCATTTTGCTCCACTGTCATAAACCCAGCATGCTAGAGACTACATGTTAATATTACTTCCAATTCATGGACAATAATATTGACTTACTGGTTGTTTTCCATTTATCGCATCTTCATACTTCCCAGTAGACGTAACTAGAAAACATATTTCTTTGACCTTTCAATCCCCCACGACTATTCTCCCCCGTTTTCTGGGCTCATGAATTGCTCCATCCTGCCTGGGGTCCCATCTGGACTGCGTAGGCAGTGTGGGGCCTGAGGACATGTCAGCAGAGTGGAGATATCCAAATGTTCCCCCGGAGCGGCCCGCTAGAGTGCTCCAATCCAAATGTATCTTTGTGCTGGTGCCACAGAGCCACCAGAACGATCCAACTGTTGCTTTGGCTGGTGCAAGCGTATGAAAAAATATTTGGAAATTATCGTTGCACCTGTTTAGTGGTGTCATTTTTGTTATTTTGTTTTTGTTGTCTAATAATGGTTTAGGGGGACAATTCAGTTTAGCTTTCAACACGTACAGAGATTCTTGCACGCAACACCGAGATGTGTCTATTCAAAACTTGTGCTGGCTGTCGGTGTGCAATGATTTGGATTCAACAAAAACAAGCGTTCTGCACATGATCGCTGGAAAATAAATCCACAAGGTATTTGGAGGTATATACAGGGCTTTTGGAGGACTTAAGGCCTTATTTATGTCACACAAGACTTAATTTATATGAGAAACAAACACAAACATAAATATGTTTCTCTTCTAATATCACTAATGTAAATATGGAGAGTTTGCTCTTTGGGAGCCTTTTGAGAGTTCATGTCCGCCTGCAGACGTTACATTTGGTGATTCAGTAGGCTTTTGGAGGACTTAAGGTCTTATTTTTGTCACCCAGAGCATAAATATTGATATGATATAACCATGTCAATATACTAGTTTTTTTGTCAGTCACAAATCCAGCCTACCTCTAAGATTGTCTTAGTCCTCTCTCAACGTTCCAGCCATGAACAGTGATGGTTTCTATAACCCTGGAGATTTTGCAAAAAAACTATTTCTTATTACTGGTATTTTTCCCCTCTATTGAATAATTGTACCTAAATTAAAGATAGGACTTTTCAAAACTTTACAGGGTGGTTATGTTACTGCAATACAAGATTTTTTTTTTTTTTTTTTCAATGCTGTTTGCGATCTTTGCCAGCAGTGCCAGAGATCGTGGCTGGCGACGTCAAATGAACCGATTCCCCTCTTCCAAAACGCTCCGTCTCATTCCAGTCAGCACGTGGCGAGTCTGATTCTTTGTCGGTTTTGATAAAACGCAATTTTTGTTGCTTATCCAGCTATTCGTGGTAATAAATTTAATGGCATTGGTGTACTTTTTTTCTTAATATGCGAGCATGTGTTCATTGTACTCTGCATATTTCATTGTCACGATTCATGCGGACAGCCGGTTTGAGCCTGTCGGGGAGGCACTTCTCCCACCCAGGCAGCAACCACTATCTATCTGTCTTTTCATACCCCCATGAACAATTCATGACCACAGCCTTAATTAAAGTGATCTCTCCTGACAGATCATCAAAATGTACTCCTTCCTGGATTACATCATGGGAGGCTGCCAGATTCAGTTCACAGTAAGACATCCAGGACACAGTCATTGATATTTTGCACTTGTGCGCTCCATCGCTAGTTTGTGCTCCCTCGTGCTTTGTGACTGTTTTTATTTTATTTATTTATTTTTTGATTCTGTCCCAGGTGGCCATAGACTTCACAGCATCCAATGGGGATCCAAGAAATAGCTGCTCTCTCCATTACATCCATCCCTACCAACCCAACGAGTACCTCAAAGCCCTGGTGGCTGTAGGGGAGATCTGTCAGGACTATGACAGGTGAAGTAACTTGCAGTTGTAGTGTTTTGCTTTTATATCTAAAATCCTTGACGCAGAGTTTTTTTTTTTTTTTTTTACTTTGTGCTAAACAGTGTCTATGATTGGCCATTACTAAGAAACCCCTAAAAATGATGTGAAACTAAAAAGTAGATTAAACAAAGTAAAAAAAAGTAGGATTTTTTTTTTTTTTGGTGTGCATGTGTATTCTATCAGTTTATAGAGCAACCTTTCATTGCAGTAAACAGCAGCCAGGGTTTGAGGAATGTTCCAGCAATCTTCAGCAACCAAACACCGTCCGTTCTTGTATGCAAATTAACCCAAGTTCAGTTTAATTCAATTCAGTTTATTTATGTAGCCCCAATTCACAACAAATGTCACCTCGAGGCATTTTTACAAAAATATGCATTTCAATTCAACCACACTTACATTCCAACTGATTCTAGTTATCAAACAGTGCAGTATGCTCAGTTAGTTACTTAAAGTAATTTAAAAAAAGTTTATATTTAAGGAAACCCAGCGGATTGCATCAAGTCATTGTTGGACTTGATGTTGGATGGAGAATATCTGTAAACACCTATTTTAAAGGACTGCCACGGACTTTTAATTGAATTTGGATTTATGCGTTGTGTTAGATCTACTCTAACACAAAGCATGCTTTGATCTGAACCACTTCTTTGCAGCTGTGTGTTGAGGGTTTGTTGTCATGCTGGAAGGAAAACCTCTGCCCCACTCTCAAGCCTCCAACAGATTTTCTTTCAGTGTTGCCTCGTGTCTAGCTTCACCCATACTCCAATTTACTCTGACCAGCTTTTCCATCCCCGCTGTAAGAAAAAAAATAAAAGCATTTCCACACATTAGTGGTGGTTTTGGATGTGGCCCTTACGCATTCTTCTCCGGGGTGGCATTAGCAATTGTGTAATGAGAAAGTTTTCTATTGCTTTGCCTCGTCGGTGGGGGGGTTGCCACCCCCAAATGTGTAGTAGGCGTCCCCTTGCTGAACGCTGCTAAGAATAGCAAGATTAGCCAACGTGCTTTGTGTGGGACTGCGATGCATTTTTATCTCTTCCTAGAATTTCTCATAATTTCCTGTGTTTTGTCTAGTTGGGCTTCCGTGGGGCGGCAGAAGCTCCCTCAAAGTACCATTAAGAAGACGCATCACTGCTGGGGATGGTGGTTAGGGGGGCGATGATAGGTCTTAGTTTTCTGGCGCAGATGGCGCTTTAAATGTAGGGATAAATGTTCGCTTTCGATTTTTCCCTACGGCTCGTTGGACTTGATCGGTTTTGTTATTGCCGCCCAATAGCAATAACATAACAGAGCCAAGATTTGTAAAGTGCGTGACTTTTAACTTCTTCACAAGTATATTACTTCTGGCCTGTCTACTGTCTTTCTTGGTTTTCCTAATGCTCTTTGTTTATTAAAGTTTTCTAAAAAAAAAAAGAAAAAAAAAGCAAACATCTATTTTACCTCTGAAGGCAATGTAACCTTATTTATTTAGATGTGCTGCTAAAACCAAACAGCACACTGAATTCTGTATATGTAGCGTGCAAATGTAAATTAATTAAAAAGTCGTATATTATTATTATTATTATTATTATTATTATATTCTCTCTCTCTCTCTCTCTCTTTCTCTCGCTCTTTCTCTCTTGGTTTCCAGTAATTTGTGTGTCGTTCCTTTGTTGCAGTGATAAAATGTTTCCTGCGTTTGGTTTCGGAGCTCTGATACCGCCGGATTTCAAGGTAGGAAACCAGAGTTTTACGCTTGTACACTCGGCGAAGCAAGGGGAGTTCTGGATGGTTCAGATTACATTTTAAGCCTCCTTCGGAGGTGCCGCTTACTTTTGATCAGCATGAAAGCAGAAATTGTGCGTCAGACCTGTAAACTGGACTTGACACATTGTGCTGAGCGATCGGCTTGTCTCAGCTGTTGAAGACCCTCTCTCCCCTTTGTCTCCTCTCTCCTCTGTCCTCTCTTTCATGCCTGCAGGTTTCACATGACTTTGCTGTGAACTTCGATGAGGAAAATCCGGAATGTGCCGGTGATTTAACGCACCTCAAACACACATAACTTTGCTCACTTTTAGATGCACCAAAACAGACAGAAAGCAATATAGGCCTGTCTTTCTCACACACACACACACACACACGCACACACACACACACACACACACACACGGCCACGCATGCACACATTAGCACACGCGCAGACCAATGCAGCTGGGAGGTTTGTCAGAATGCTGCAGGATGTATTTCAGGCTCCACGACACAGAGAGAAACAACACTAATCTGTATGTGTGAAATGGGCTTCCGTGCTCCTCTCCACACATAGCTGCAGTCCCTGTTGCGAAGGTGTGTTTGTGTGTCGCGTCGTGTGTTTGTGCGGACCATGAGGGGAATGCTTTTCGAAAAATGCTCAGTCACCCTGTGGCGCAATTACACACACAAACACACAGAGAGCCTGATTTATTCTAGCAGACACGTTTGCAAGTATGCGAACTTCAACTCTGCGAGGCCGTCGTGTGCGCAACTTGCACACTGGTGGAAGGGGGTGGGGGTGGGGGGAAACAAATAAACACAGCAGTGAGAACCCACATATACGTTCTGTGTTGCAGGGATCCAAGGTGTGGTGGAGGCCTACCAGAACTGCCTTCCTAAAATCCAGCTGTACGGGCCCACCAACATCGCCCCAATCATCCAGAAAGTGGCCTCCTCTGCCTCCGAGGAGATGCACACCAAAGAGGCCATGGTGAGAGAGTGAATGGAACAGATGAAATATGAAATATATTTTTATAGCTGTGACCTTTTACTACTGTAAGACAAGGAGAAATGGAAGAAAGGAAAAAGACAAAAAGCGACAGATCAGAAAGGATAAGACGAGTTAAATGTAATAAACTGAAGAAGGAGATGTGCGTGGTTGTGTGTGTGTGTGTGCGCGCGTTTGAAGAGGGCTGATTGATATTAATTTAATTCCAGTTATAAATTTTAGAGCATGACTTTTCTCTGCATTAATGCCATCTGCTTCCCTCCGTCTCTCCGGTGGATTAGAATGGCTTTTATTTAAATCAGTCGCTGACAGGAAGTCGCTCTCGAAACATCAGCTTCGTTCCTCCCTTTTTTTTTTCTTCTTTTTTTTTTAACCTCGTCACACCAGGAATACTTCATCCTGCTAATCCTGACCGACGGAGTCATCACAGACATGGCGGACACGCGGGAGGCCATCGTGCACGCCTCCCACCTCCCCATGTCGGTCATCATCGTCGGCGTGGGCAACGCCGACTTCACGGACATGCAGATCCTAGACGGCGACGACGGGATCCTGCGCTCCCCCAAGGGCGAGCCCGTCCTCCGGGACATCGTTCAGTTTGTCCCCTTCAAGGATTTCAAACACGTAGGTGGACATCACCAATACATGCAGTCGCACTCCTACCAAACGCTGCCACTTTATCAAGCAACTGTAAGCTTTGACTCACAAAAGTCCCACTAATATGTTATTATATTACTGAAGGAATAACGTTTTCCTTATTGCCTGGGCCTCTGAAAATATTTGATAATTTGGCGGATTTGGCTACATCCTTCACTAACTTTTTTTTCCCCCCTCCTTAAATTTCCTTTTTCTCTCTTATTTTTCAAATCGGAGGCACTGCTTGAAACTAACCCCTAATAGGCAAACTATCAGACTGACGTCTCACTCTGCACCTGTGGCCATTAGGACAGCGCTGCTTCTCTATGGGGTAAACAAAAAAAACAAACAAAAAAAATAAATTCCCAGTGTTCAGACCTGAGCAGACCAGCTTTTCGGAAAGCTTCCCGCACATCCTGATGGCACAACCAGCCCCCTGGTCACAAACCACTTTTATTTGTCAAGCAGAGAAGTTCCTAAAGACTTTTATAAAGATAGATTGTTTTTCTTCTCCAGTTTGGAGAGGCGAATTAGTCAAGAAGGATAAAGATCAGACGAGAGAGGTCGGGCAGGGTATTTATTTCTCATTGAAGCCGTTGCTGGATATATCACTGCACCACAAAGCAAATAGTTTGATGGGGATATTTGAAAGTTAAGACAGCCACTTAAATTTTTTTATGTTGAAAAAACAGACTAGATTTTACAGTGTAAAAAATGTTATTGGATTTTATTTCAAAGTGAATTTTGGGGCACTTTCAAGAGCCTGAGCTACTTAAACCTAAAGGAAACACAATTTGGTATAAGAGGCAAATAAAAGTAAGCTTATTTTCATAACTTGGATGAGTACCAACTCAAAAGTAGACTTGGATATATTTGTTAAATGCCATGTACTCTTATTAGTGTTGCTTGTGTGTATAGTGTACACACAAGCAACTATAAATATATATAGTCTCACAAATATACATATATTTGTGAGACTCAGCTTTTGAAGTTAGGACATTTGTTGAGCTTACACTTAAAATGACAGGGATTTCTCCCCCCCCTCTTCACCACCCCCAATATGGGTGTAATATGCTTGCCAGTCTCATCAAAGCACATCAGGTCTCCGCTCCCTTGAGTGTTTGTGTGTTCGTGTTCATTTGTGTTTACGTCTTTCCCTCTCCACCGGCGTTAATTTCGCTTGGCTCTGACCAGATGGATTTGGCGGGGTCCGTTATGGTGAGTTTGGCCTGTGACAAGCTGGGAAATTAAGCAATTATATCCCATCGCATCAGCAAGTTAAGGAGAGGGAACATGTACCAAGTGTTTGAGGAGGGAGAATTGGCCAGGGAGGAGTGAGGCGATGAATATTGTGGAGGGAGATGAGGTAGGGAGACAGCTCGCTAGAGATGGCATACGAGGGGGTCAGCTGGAGACCAGAGCTAAAGACAAAAGAGAGCGAGGGAGTGTGTGACAGAGGTGGAGAGGTGATTTTCTGCTCCGTCGTCTCTTTTCAGAAGGGATTAGGAGGACGGAGCTGCCGGGTGACAGGCGGAGTGGGGGATAACAGGTAAGCAGGAGCGGAGGAACGAGAGAGGAGGGGGGGAGGCTAGAAATGAGAGGAGGGGAACGGAGGGAGAAGAGGGTGAGGAAGCCTGGGTGAAGGCTCTTTGATGATGCATTGTCTCGTGGAATTATGTGAGATGGAGTGCAGCGGCCTCTCTGACTTTGAGGATTCAGAAGTCATGTGAATCTGTCTGCTTGATTCCTGGTGTTCCTGAAAGCACTGAAAAATGGGACGATGGCTGAAGTTCTTCGGTGTTTTCAGCATATCTTTACACGTTTATTAGCTAAACATGAACAAAATGTTTTTGTACTTTCAACCGTAATTGATTTCTTTAAACAGCACCTGCATACAAAAAAAAAAACAACAAACAGAACAGGCTTCTCTTGTAGTGTTTTAACTTGCCCTTGATTTTTACTTTTATTACATTCTGAAGGTCTTAACAGGTTTCAACCAAAGTTTCTGTTCAGTCCTGGTGCCTCACCATTAGAGCATATTGTGCAGTGCATACTTACAAATAAGAGAATGTGACAGAACGAGTACAAAGAGAATGTCTGAGGAAAAATAAAAATATCTAGAGCAGGTGAGCTTTATAAGAAAATCCCACGTTTAAAAAAAAAATGAAGAAATTCATGCAAAGAACACATTTCTTTGATGGCCACTTTACATCAATCTTATCTATGCTATGTTTCTTAGACATATAAATGTGAATTAAAATAAATCAGAGAAAAACACCTCAAGGCCAGAAGATAAGTGCCAGACGCTGAAGTCTCACTTCCTGATTTTTAAGCATGATCTTTCTGCAACTAGGCATAATGTTTTTCACCAACCAGAAAAAAAAAGTCAGGCTTTTGAGCATCCGACCAGCCAGCCATCAAGTCAGGGTTGGTCAAGATGAAAGTAATCCAGTCCTAGTTACCAGCTGCTGATTTAGACTTGCTAGGTCTCACCACAGACATCAGATTTTTCCACTGTGTGCACCAGCAGTATCAGTAACCTCCCATTCAAATGGTGGCAATAAATACAAAGCAGACAAAAAAAAAAAGGCAAATCAGATCAGACGGAGAAGAAGAAGAAAAACAACACTTATGCTTGTACTTCCTGATTTCCCGACTGGGACACTTTATCACTATGGAACAATAAAGGAAAAATCTGCAGTGATACGGCAATGAGAAACCAATTTCTTTTCAGTTCTTCCCTTTCTTCTCACTAGACAAATGACAAATTGCACTTTATTGCTCCATACGAGGCTGCATTGAAAACTATGTGCACACACTGAGAGTTGTATGAATATGGGCCTGTTTCTGACAGCGACAGCTAAACATGCACACGTCTCACTCAGTCAGTCAGTCAGTATTTGGTGACGAGTCCATTGTGTCCCTTAAACACAAACTTTCAACTAAGTAGCTCCCACATCTCAATAAATCATGGCGCATAAAATAATAAAGTTGCATTGCTGAGATTATGATGATGATGATAATGTCGCACTGGATTTGTTTAATTCTACATTGTTACATGCCAGTGGAAAAGAAAAAAAAACCTGACATTCTCAAGGTCAAACAAAGTAGCAGCTTACTGTCAAAATGACCTTCTTGGAGAAGAGGCCTATTGTCAGCCCAGTTAACTTAAAGATCAATATACGTTGAGCAAACAAGAACAAACATCATCTCGGTACTGTGCATTATTAATTCCATGCAAAAGCAGAGTCTGCGGCTTAGTTTTTGTGCGATCGTTTACTTTCATGTTGTGTGAAGACAGCGCTTTTATGCAGAAAGGTGACAGGAGCTCAAAGAATATGATGCAATTCCTTTTTTTTTTTTTTTTTCTGCTGGGCCATTTTCCCAACACACACACACACGCACACACACACACACACACACACACACACACACACACACACACACACACACACACACACACACCCACACACACACACACACACGTGCTGTGCACAAAAATCAAGTGACACCAGAGAACAAAAAAAACAAAACAAAACAAAAAAAAAAACGGAAACCAAGAATATTTTAGAGGCTGTCAGACAATCTTGTCGGATCGCTTCAGTCTCGGTGGTCTACACACAGTATAGCTTACATTCTTCCCCTCAAGATCTTAGAGTGGATAGTGATGTGTGTGTGTGAGTATGTTTCTAACACATCTCGTCTTTGTCTCCGTTTTCTTCAGGCCTCTCCAGCTGCTTTGGCTAAGAGTGTTTTGGCCGAAGTTCCCAACCAAGTGGTGGATTACTACAACGCGAAGGGGATCAAACCTAAGTGTATATCGGACTACGAGTCCTCAAGAACCTTCAGCCCCTGACGATGTACAACATGCACATGTGTATACGTAACACTTACATATACATATATAAGTTACAGGGGTGTAACAAAACATCCATTTAATGAAACAAGACCACGCAAAGCAATGCAAAAACAACGGGTTTTCAAAAAGGAAGGATGATCCTTTTTTAGCAGTAGCTTGGGGGAGTCTAGGAATTTTTTTTTTGCTTTAACAATCTGCCTTCCATGAGTCAGTAAGTAATTAATTTAAAATAATTCAGTCCGGCTATGACCAGTCCATATAATGAGGTTATTATGCTTATCAAATGAACGCTGGAAATAGGCAGCAGCCTCTCCACAACCCAGCAATGATAAGTGGGGTCCAGACAAAGCATGGATGGATGCTTGTTCATTTTTGGTGGGGGGCAGAAAGAGGGGGGGGATTATAATTTCACTAAAGCAATAAACTTGTTCCTTTTTGTGTTTTTATAATGAAATAATAGTATAATTAATCCAAATTGAATACTTAAAGTATTTTAGCTTTTAAGCTGGAGATACTAAACTGAGGTCTGTAATTCCTAAAAACTTTGAATAGTCCTCAAACTGCTGATCATGCGGTTTCTTACTTTGCTGTGCATGCTGCCGTGCTGGATCGCTTGCGGGTCTAAAAGGTGAGGGAATTAAGCTAATTAATTTGTCTCGCTATGCTTCCGAAGTGTGTTGCTTTTGATCCGCGTCCGTTTTGAATAGAGCGTATACACTGGGATCCAGAGTGTGGAATTCACATTGTCCATTTGTAATAACAAGTTCTCTGTTACTTTTGAAATCACATTATTGTATAGTTGAAGTATCCTTCAGCTGATCCAAATGAATTTTCTGGTGCAGAATAAATGCCCTTAGGTGGCCAGAAAAAAAAAAAAAAAAAAATTGCCAAATGAATCAGATAGTAGTGTTGCATGAGATTTATTAGTATTATTCTTGGGATTTTGCGCTGGTTGTGTGGTTAGAATGTCTCCTGGATGCCTCCATGGGGAAATGTTCCACGTTCCGGGTCCGTTTTACCGGGTGGTGACCCAGAGGACGACCCAGGACACGCTGGAGGTACTATGTTTTCTCGGCTGTCCTGGAAAGCCTTGGGATTCCCATCAAGAAGTTACCCCAAGTGGCTGTGGAGAGGGAAGTCTGGACCTCTCTGCTTTACCCTGCCCTTGGATTAAGCAGAAGATGATGGATGGATGGGTTACTGCAGCAATAAATGTGTAGCAGTGAAGTGCTGCATAGGTGGCACACATGGCATGTGACTCCTGCAGCACCCATGCTGCTGAGTTTTTTTGACATCTTTAGAAAAGTCTGCACCTGCCTGGTTTACCTGGAAATCAAATTACGTATTCTACGGAGTAACATGTAAGAGGAAGCATTATTTACCTTAGGCAGTGCATCTTCAGGTGCTATTGAAATTCAGGGCAGTTAAGCAGTGGTGTGACTGGGGTGCTAACTTTAGCTCTATAATGAACCTGTGAAACAAACCCCAACTTTGCCATGAGTTCTGGCACACAGTTAGCCTAAGATGCTCACGATGCTTCAGGAAATTGTTCAGATCTCATGTCTCACTGTTTCTGTGTTCTTTTGAGTACCTGAACGCTTTGTGATAAATAATTTAAAAAGCTACAGACGCTTCTTCGTCGGTTTTGTAACCAGTGTTGTCGGCAAGCCCGACAAACGGTCTCCGTGATTGTTCACCGCATCAGTTCATCTCAAAAACGGCTTACTTTCCTACTTTAAAGTTGCAGTCTCAAGCATAAATAGCAGCTCTTGGTCAACGTACAGGGCCCATGACAATAGCTCGGTTTTGCTTGACAAGACAAAAGTCACAAAATGATACAAACTGGATAGCACTTTCCATCCCTGGCTTCACTTCAGTCTGAAATATGTCATGTTTTGGTTTTGCTGGGGTCCCAGATGCAGAGACAAGGACAGATGGAGCTTAGTAAATAAAGGATTTTGATAACACAACTCAGGAGACAAGAACAGACTGCCAGCAGCAGGCTGAAGACAGTAGAGGCTCTGACAATGGAGCAAATTAAACCAAGGAGTATTTGTGGCACAGGGGTGAAACCACTCAATTCAAGAACTACAAATATAAACATACGTAAATGACTAAAAACACTCTTGCATCAACCATAATTACTAAGCTAAAGTCTGACTGATTGTGAAAGTAAAGTGTTTTAATCCTGTGGGATTTCATAACCAGATCTTGTTGCACCCCTGATAAGTTATATAAAATACATCCAAATATTGTACAATATATACATGTCTAAAAGCACAAGAAGACATAAGCAAATACATATACACATCAATACAACATACAGTAGTCTAGCTGAGAGAATTAGCTTGTTATGGTGAAGCAATTTGAACTACTCCATTGATGACTATTGCATGTTTGGCCACAATGGCATCACTTGGGAAATTATTGCTATATACTGTATATTGAAAATGTATTTGTAAAAATATTAACAGTCTTCGGAACCGGCATGCATAGTCTGACCATATCCCACTGAAAGAAATGACACTTCTACCTTATTTAGATAACTAGCAAGTACACAATGCTAAAAGTTCCCCAATATTTAAGGGGGAAAAGCCTGAACATGAGCCTGCAAACTCCCTCCCCTCCCCCCAAATGCTTAGAATTAGCATTGCAAATGTTATTTGTGGGACTGGTGGCATTCGATTTAGTGTACTGCATGAATGCATGCATAATTCAGCTCCCACTAATATCCAATCTCGAGTAGCCGCTTGCTAGTTATGAAATAAAGTATCTCTGTCATTTGTGTGAAGCAGTGGGGTAATCTCGGGCATTTGGGGTTCTTTTTTTTACAGATTTGCTTGTGATTTTGCTAAATGGAAAATGAATAACTAATGGATAATTGTAACAATTTCTTAATAACCTTCTTACATTGTAAAGAGTTTCAGGATGGTAGAAAAGCGTGTGTGGTAGAGTCTAATTTGTAAGCTGGAAATTGTTTCCGTTTTCTGTATCCTGCATGGTGATTATAATAAAGATGATTTGGGTTTCTCACTTTGCATTATCTTTTTTTGTTAGTGTGTCTGTTTGTATAAGATAGAGGCAGAGAGAGAAAGAGAGAGAGAGAGAGAAAGGATTTGTTACTACGATAGAAATCTGAATCTTTTTAGAGAATCGCACATATTTGTTTTCTTGACACCCCTAGAAAATCTAGTGCAACAGACTTACTTCAGAAATTACCAAATTGGAAAATAAATTCAGTCCTTGTCTAATTGATTTTGATTATATTACAGCTGTTCTGTGAAAACCTTAGAAATGTGTTCAATAAATTATTGAACTTAACAGCACATTAAGGTCCAAGACCACAGACAGATCAGGGTCAAACGTGTTGCGACGTTAGAATAGATTTAGGTTATAAAACAGTATCCTAATCTTTGATCGTCACTCGAGCAATGTTCAACCCATCATCCCAAAATAAAAGTGTGATAGAAGGGTCGCACAATCGTAATCATACCGAGACATGACCGTCCACCTAAACTGGCAGGTCGGCCAGGGGGAAAATTGATCAGAGAAGCAGCCAACAGGCTCGTAGTTACTCAGAGGCAACAGCTCCAGTGGGAGAATCTGCTGAGAGGCCAAATATTTGTGCGTTCCACAAATCTAACTTTTATTGAAGAGTGCTGAGAAAAAAAAAGAAGAAAAAAAAGACATCTGTTCAATGCAAGCCATATGAAGTCTAGCTTGCTCCAAATTATGTTGGTAATCAGAGTTTTACTTGTGAAAGTGTACTTGTGTAGTTGATTTTGGTTTGTGTTTATACAATTGCCCAAATCAGTAACTGTAAAAGTTCAAGGACAGAGCTGTAGGTTAAACCTCACATCTGAGGTTTGTGTGCTTTGTTATAAGAGTAAATGCTGATAAAACCTTTTGCAATAAATTATTAAGCATCTCTCTATAAAAAAAAGAAAATAAAATTCATGGCATTGTGATGTGTCAACACAAAACAAACAGTAAAAAAAATGCTTGGTTCTAAAAAGATGTATGCACAGTGACATCTTAGTAAATAATCTGGAACTTTGAGAGTGATGTGAGTGTCAATCAACTTTGACACACACATCTACACTTTGTACACATTTCCTTTGCTATAATTAACACTGCCAACACAACTGACACCTTTCCAGACGACATATTCTTTCACTAGCTCCCACGCAGACAATAAATATGCAAGAATAAATTATTGCACCAATCTCCACACAGATAATTAGGGGGAACTAAACTTAGTCTGTCATTTGGGTACACTCTATGAATGTCTCATTCTGTGAAAAGGCCAATTAGTATTCAACAGAAGACCAGCCGACATCTATTTCTTATTCAGAAAATAGCCTGGAAACAGTAATGATGACCTAAGAGCGTCTAAGTTAATCTATTTCAAACCAGCTGTAAATGGTTAATTCTATTTTTCAACTTTTCTTTTATTTGACTTTAACGCTAGAGTCAAACATAGGATTATTGGAAATAACACAAAAGAAAGAAGAATACCTATATCCAAAGTACAACATAATAACGACATGTAAAAATAAAAGTAAAATTATGTGAAACTAAAGCTGTATATTGTTAGCATCAATGTTTATTATATTTTTGGATCCAGAAGTAAGCGATAGAGATTTAAACCGCTGTTGTACAGTTCTAATGTGATGATTGGGAACCTTTTGCATTGACCGTAGTCCTGCGGAACTATTTTGCTAACGTACCGGAAATGGTAGGGGTGACATTAGGTAAGTGGACGAAGACAAAAGCATGTGTTTTCATGCTTAAACCGATAACATAACTTAATTTACTTTTTCTGGTGTCAGATTTATGAATGAGTGCGAAGAATGAAGATGCTGGCAAAGTTGGGCTGTCGGCTTCTTCTCCAGCGGGGAGCACAGCTCATTTCTCCTCGGGCAGCTGCTGAAAGGTAAAGATGCTAACTGGCTAATTGTGCTAAGAACTCATCCCTGATTGCTTTGAAGGCGAGTCTCTTTATGGTGAAAATACTGATCATTTTTACATTAACATTTAATATAGTATTGGGATCGTAAGACATATGTCAATGTTTGGGGCTGGGATACTGAAATATGTTTTCAGTCATATCGCCAGTTATTGTGTAGCTTAAAAACTAAACTGAACACTTTTATTCTGTCAGAAATTACTAGCTATAATAGCAGAGCTATGAACACTCATTAGTCCTATGATGCCGTTGATTTAAGAACTATATAATTCAAAATGTAATAAATATTAATAAATAATTAATCATATAACTATACTCACTCATGAAATTAAAACAAACTGAATTAATATTTAATTATTTCCTGGGGGGAGGTTATTTATTTGATGGGGTATTTATTAATAACAGTATTTAAGCTGCTGCCCCAGTTTCCAGAAGAATTAATAATATATTTTGAAATTAATCCCTCTGCTTAATTCCAGACGGATTTGAATCATAAGATATATCCATAATTCAACCAAAAGGAGTGCCGTGAGCAGTTTTTACATGTAAGAATCCACCTTCCAGGGCTCTGTTCGGGTTTTACATGCCTTGATTTAGTTCCCAAGCACATTGAAAGCTTCAAACAGCACAGCTCTGTAATCAGATTCAAGGACTTGCCTCCAGAATTTTTAGACCGATAATCTAATAAGTCTTGATATTATAGAAAACCTTTGCTTGAAAAATGTTTCTGATGTCATTGTTTGCACAGTTGTTTTATTACTGAATATTTAAGAAAGTGAAAGTGAGATTTTGATGTTGTTGGGGAAAATATCTGTGTGCACAGTTATTGGGCAAGCATTATTATGTAGACTTATTATGCAACTAAATTAGACAATAATGAGCACACAACTCAAAATGTGCAAATAAACATTTCTGCTATTTCAAAAAGAGTCAGTGACCAATTTTGATACTTTTCTTTGCAACATTCAACCTGAGCCGTTCATTCCCGGAGTCTGTTAGTTTTTTGATTACCTTATGATCAGCTTGTAGAGTAACCATGGTCACCAGTTTGCACAAAACAGCAAACTGTTTCCCTTCACTGTAAATATCATGTTTAAGAAAAATCTCAGGTTCTCAATAGGATTAGGAGACAACGAAGTGGTATGAAATGACAAAAAACTAACTTCAGAGGAAGTCAGGTTGGCATTTGGAAAGATGAACCTACCTTGTTGTTTAGGATAGTAAAAATAAAAAAAGGCAGGTGATTCTGAAAAAGAAAAAAATACAATACTTTTTACTATTAATTTTTATATTAATTTTACAAAAAAAAAGTGTAACAGTACCAGTTTTGGACTTAAATATATGTATAAAGTGCCAAAAATAAAGCTCTTATTTAAAAAAAAAAACTGGCAATAGACAAAAGTAATCTATTAAAATATAGGTATGTGTTTTGTATAAATCTGACTCACATACTTATTTAAATGTGATTAAGGCAGGGTAAAGTAAAATTATTTCGAGTTTCTGAATATAGTCTTCACAGTAACACATGCGTGCACAGCTTTAAAGGTTCAAATACGAGTAAAAAGCTGGGAATGCATCGCAGACATGCAATGCGTCTAACCTCAGGCAGCATTCTGCAACTTTTAGAAAAAAAGCTCCGCGCACACAGTTAGCGGAGACGACTCAAATAGCTCAGCAGTAATGACTCATGTGCGCAGTTCATCTTTTTGGTGACAAACTGTGCTGACACACTTACTCACACTAAACTCTGAAAAGCTAAACCTGTTTTGCAATCCATCTTGGACGCTTGTATTTGTGTAATGAGCTCAGAAAGACTGCATATATATATATATATATATATATATTTTTTTTTTTTGTGCCCATGACTTATTCATATGGTTTAGTGAGATAAAATTGCTTCTAATGCAGCTTTCTGATCAGTATTTTTAAAAGGCTTCTTATAGAAAACCAGCCCGAAAAAGCTGTGAAAGACTTCTATAATGTTACTCCCCTCCCACCTCCCTGCTATTTGTTGCTAATCAGCGGATAAATGGCAACAGAAATTGTGTTTACATAATTCTCCCCTAATGAAGTCAAAGAAAATGTGAATAGCGCAAAAACAAATCAACACTGTAATCAGTTATAAACTTATTATTCAGTAGAAATCTTTCTCTACACACTTCCTCTGCATATTGAATGTTGCACCTAAGGGCTTTCTGATTCTTTGTCTTTTTTGGGGGGGGGAATGTTTCTTTTCTTTTTGAGACTTGCTTTAAGACACCCTCGGGTTGAATTACCTCGCTGAAATCACTGCGCATGTAAAAGAAGGTGAAAAGCAACTGTGGTCCTGGAGGACCGGCGTTTCAGATACTTTAGAAGTTTCTCTCCAAATTGAAATGAATGGGCCATTATCAGGCTCCTGCAGAAGTTTGTGACAAAAACGAGAAGATAATTCAGCCAGTTCAATTATCTGTGCCGCAGAAGGGACACCTACCCAGCCCAGAGCTTTGGAACTGTCCACTTCCAGTCATCTAATGCTCAGATACTAAAGACATGTTGGGATGAGAAAACTGTCCTAAGACTTAATGAGTTAGGGCTGTACTCAGAAGATATCAGTCGTTTTTTGTTTTCATTTACTGGCTTTACTGAATCGAAAAGGTCTAGATGAGACATATTGAGTTTTGGACAATAAAATAAATTACCTGAGCAAAGAATGTTTTCGATCTGAAGCAATGTAAGCTATATGTTTAGATATGAGGGAAGTTTGGATGGTACTTGTGCAACTTAATGGCATAATCTATAGTTTTCCAGATAATCAATTGATCTGTGATATTAGGTCATCCTCACAAGGTTTTAATAGATATTTTAACTGGTCTCTCTACCAGTTAAATCACAATGACAGCTGGAAATTAGTTGCTAGAAGTTAGTCTCCCTGTGGTGGTTATCTTCTATAATGTGTTCCTGTTTCTATGGCAGCAAAATTCCAGGAATCTTCTAAATTAGAAAATGAACAGGCATTTAAAGGAATAAACCTGTAGTTTGAAATGTTGAACATTGGCTCAACTTTAGATTGGTTACAAATAGCACAG